TTCTACAAAAATTGTTCTATTTTGGTCTTAAGAATAGTAGTATAAATAAATAATGATAAAAGACAATATGTACATAGATTCGTATAAATAGTAAAAGTATTTATATACAAAACTAATCTGAGTGATAAAAATAAGTTAATGTTAAAGTAGGAGTGAAGATAATGTTGACCGTCACCAGGTCCCAACACCGCGCTGTACAATATGCACAATTAATTAAGACAAGCCTCGCTACCCGAGCACCTCCCGGCTGGCGCGGTGGTCGTGAGGGAGGAGGAGGTCGTTCCGCCGCAGCCACACCTGGGTGCTCCAGTACACCCTCTTAATCACACTATAGGCACGTAATTGAGGGATAATTAAGACATTATATGCCCTAGTTCGAAGGCATGCACTGTTTACGACGAAGGCTTGGCAGTGTCCGTGTCCGCAGGAGAGTGAGTGAGAAGTGCGGGACACGTGCACTGTGAGGGTCACACCAGGAACAACACATTAACTGTTGCTGTCCTCGGCGGCATTGCTGGTGCGACGTCGAACCTCAGATTTAAAACCTCTGGAACCGTCGGGACCCTTGGGGAATCTGACGACGCCGTTGGGGAGGGGTAGCGATCCTTGCGAGATCCGGGCAGGGCGGTTGAATGGGGGCCGGGAGCCCACCACGGGGGAGGCCGCTGAGGCAGCTGAAGCAGCTGCCGCCGCCAGGAGGTGTCGCTGGACCCACGAGGAGGAGGACGGCGGCGACCCCAGCTGGAACTCTGTACAGGACTTGCTCTTGGGGCGATTCCTGCGGGCCTCAACCACCGCTGACAGCTCCCTCAGATTGGGAGACTGAGTCTGTGGAAGAGAGAGGCATTTGCGGCGAGGGATGCGTGGCTGTGGGTAACTGTACTCCCCTTCACTGCTGAGGCCGCTAGTGCTGTCCTTGCGAGCCTTGCCGCCGGCGGTGCTGTTCTTGCGGCTTGCTGGGCCCCTCTGCTGCTGGATGTTGGACACGCTGTTCTTACGACTGTTGGGCTGTGAGCCCTTCTGTTGCTGGGTCTTCTCTTGCTTCTTCTGTGCCTCGGGGAGGATGGGCACCACCTTCATGCCGTCCTCGTTGGACATCTCGGTGGCGGCTTTGGCGGCTTCTGGTGTCTCGAACTCGACCCAGGCACAGTTGGTGTCCGTGAGTTCGGGGTGTTTGACGGCCAGGGACTTGAGGTCCTGTGGGATGGCGCTGCCTGTGCGCACCACCCGGATGAAGGCGATCTCCCCACATGAAGAGAACAGCTCCGAGACGGACTGGATGTTGGGCTTCTCGAGGGGGAGACTAAGCACTAGGACGGCGCAGGTGATGGGCACCTCCTCTAGGTCCGGCAGAGGCTCCACACGCCTGATCTTGGTGCCCAGGTCGTTGATCTGGATCTTGGAGGAACACTTGCTGAGGGAATGGGCCACCACCCGCCAGTCCTTGGTCAGCTGCTTCACTTTCTTGAAGGACGACACCAGCTTGAGGGACACATAACCCTCCTTGTTGCGACGGATGTGCTTGAGGAGGAACTTGTCCTTGGCCACGTTGGCGTCACTGAAGTAGAACTCGACCTGTGCGACGATGCGGGTCATGAGATCTTGGTCGGGCACCACCATGTCCGGCTCTCGCTCAGCCTCGATACCAGAGTCCCTGCCACCCTCCTCACTGCCGTCAGACACAACGCTCGACGACCTCTCTGACCGAGGCTCCAGCTCAGACCCATCCTGAGTGTCCTGACCCTCAGCGTCCGGGCCATCAGGGGCAGAGTCTGCCTGAATACCCTCCTCCTCCATGCTGCCCACACTGTCACTTGATTCTTGCCGCCCCAGCTTGGCGACCAATTCCGGTGGGAGGGACACCTGCACCGGCAGATGGCCACTGCGGTTCCCTCCTGGCTTGATGCTGTCAACAACTTCTATCTCCTTCTTAATGCTAAATATGACACCGTCGGGGGACACAACGAAGGCGTCTGAAGAAGCAACGACAGCGTCTGTGTTGATGGTGACGGTGGAGCCTGTGTCGGCGACCTCAGGCACCTGTGGCTGCTGGGGTGCCACCACCAGGCACTCCTCTGTTACTGATGCCATCATGAAGATCACAGAATAATATCACAGAATTATTATCAACACTGCTATATTACAGTGGAGGTCTTGAGTGATTAATCTTCAGGGCCTATAGACTTACAGTCTAGAAAACCCTGTTTCACTTCTGACCGCGTGTATACACACTACCGTGGCGGTGGACTGGCAGCTGTGACACGGCTCGCTCAACTGGCTCTCCGCACCTCCACACCCGCTATATACTTTCACCCGTGACGTCATATGGGCGGAGCCTATATCACTGACGCAACCTCGATCATCCACTATTTTTACCTCTTTCTACTCAATTTTGGACATGGTTATATTGCCAGACTCTCAGATACAACGTAGAAACAGTCAGAAAACTTCTCTGAATTGCAAAACATGTCTCAAAATCCTAAATTGAGAGAGTAAAGTAAACCTTAGTGGGAGGAGTGGGTGCGCGAGGTGGAGAGGGGGGAGAGGGAGGGGTTACAATGTTAAGGGCAGGGCAGGGCCACGTAGAGCGCCTCGCTTCACTCCCGACCCACTGTCACTTTCCTCCAGGTGACCCTACCTGTCTTGTCTACCCGTCTGCCACGCCACGCCACACAACACAACACCACGCCTCACCACGCCACACAACACCACGCCTCACCACACCACGCCTCACCACACACCACACCACGCGCTTAAGGACAATCCCCTCAAACACCATAGAAGTCCATCTGCCTCTCGTGAAAACATCAGACCAACTGTTGACTTGTGAACCGCTAGTACCAACCTGTTACCGCCAGTATAGACAAATGTTTACTACAAAATTACTAACTTATTATAGACACGAACGTCTGTAATCCTTCGTAAGGAAATACAACATAATTTTAGAGACGTTCAAATACGATTTTAAAAGCGTCTTCGATCAGTTTCCTGAATAAGTAATAAATATAAGATTATGTGTGAAAAATTACCCAAATTAACTTACAAATTACTATAAACATAAACAATATCCCTTTATTATATATATAAAAAAACACAAGAAATTAAATCGGTAGCCTTACCTCACATAGTGTCAGGGAGAGGCACAGTGAAAGGAACACGCATGCCATTATTAACGTCATATCCTTCCTGTGAATCACCTGCACGCGAACACTTCCTTGGATTCATCTGGATGCGTCACGAACAAAACATTGGCAGTGTGTGTTGTGGTGCAGACGTGGAGGACAATGCTTAGTGTCGTGGTATATTTGGCAGCGTGACTGTCTCTTAGTGTGTGTGAGTGTGTGTGTGTGTGGGTGTGTTGTGTGTGTGGGTGTGTTGTGTGTGTGTGGGTGTGTGTTATGGGTGTGTTGTGTGTGTGGGTGCGTTGTGTGGGTGGTGTGTTGTGTGTGTTGGTGTGTGTGTGTGTGTGTGTGTGTTTGTGTGTGTGTGTGTGTGTTTTGTGTGTGTGTGGATGTGTTTTGGGTGTGTGTGTGTGTTTTGTGTGTGTGGATGTGTTTTGTGTGTGTGTTGGTGTGTGTGTGTGTGTGTTTGTGTGTGTGTGTGTGTTTTGTGTGTGTGGATGTGTTTTGTGTGTGTGTGTGTGTGTGTGTTGGTGTGTGTGTGTGTGTGTGTCTGTGTGTGTGGTGAATGTGTGTGTGTGTGTGTGTGTGTGTGTGTGTGTGTGTGTCTGTCTGTCTGTTGGTGGGTGGTGTATGTGTGTGTGTGTTGGTGAATGTGTGTGTGTGTGTGTGTGTGTGTGTGTGTGTGTGGGTCTGATGGTGTGTGTGTGTGTGTGTGTGTGTGTTGGTGTGGTAGGTGTATGTGTGTGAGTGTGTGTATCTGTGTGTGTGTGTGTGTGTGTTTGGTGAATCTGTGTGTGTGTGTGTGTGTTGAATGTGTGTGTGTGTGTGTGTTGGTGAATGTGTGTGTGTGTGTGTGTGGTGTGTGTGTGTGTGGGGTTAGTGTGTATGTTTGTTGGTGTGTGTGTGTGTGTGTGTGTGTGTGTTGGTGAATGTGTGTGTGTGTGTAGGTCTGTTGGTGGGTGGGTGTGTGTGTGTGTGTGTGTTGGTGAATGTGTGTGTGTGTGTTGGTGAATGTGTGTGTGTGTGTGTTGTGAATGTGTGTGTGTGTGTGTGTGTGGTTCTGTTGGTGGGGTGGTGTGTGTGTGTGTGTGGTGAATGTGTGTGTGTGTTGGTGAATTGTGTGTGTTGGTATGTGTGTTTGTGTGGTGAATGTGTGTGTGTGTTGGGTGAATGTGTGTTTGTGTGTTGTGAATGTGTGTGTGTGTGTGTGTGTGTGTGGTGAATGTGTGTGTGTGTGTGTGGAATGTGTGTGTGTGTGTGTGTGTGGGTATGAATGTGTGTGTGTGTGTGTGTTGGGTGAATGTGTGTGTGTGTTGTGAATGTGTGTGTGTTTGTGTTGGTGAATGTGTGTGTGTGTGTGTGTTTGATATTCTCTTAATATTTTGTTAATTTTCTTGTTTATGTTGAAGAAACACAGTTTAATTACTCAACCCAAACACTCACCCACCAAAACAAACATGAACCTCTATGGTGGGACAGGTGAAGGAGAGAGAGAGGGGGGGGGGGGGGGGGAGAGAGAGAGAGGCAACACGAGGTAAACACCTTGGTCATCTTTCTCCTGTCTTGACCCTGAAACAACCCCAAAAACAACTACTAAGCGTGCACAAGGCCAGGGGGGGGGGGAGGAGGCTGTCAGGGAGGAGGCTGTCGGGGAGGGGAGGCTCGGTGTGTGTGTGTGTGTGTGTGTGTGTGTGTGTGTGTGTGTGTCAGGAAGGAAGCAGCAGAGAGAGAACAAATGATAGGGAAGTAACTGAAGGACGGAGGAGGGGAGGAGGAGAAGATCACTTGGGGGGGGGTGATAGCAAAGAGGGGGGAGAAAGGGGGAGAGAAGAAGAGGGGAGGGGGGTGAGAGAAGGAGGGAGGGGAAGAGTAATTTGTCATGGTCGTCCTGGAGGGGTAAAAGGAGGAGGGAGGGGGTAAAGGTGGGGACGGAGAGAAACTCGCTAGGCTAAGGTCTACAGCTTTCAGCTTACCTGTCACACCTCAACGCAATTTCTGTTATCTATCTGTCTATCTTCTGTCTGTCTCTCTGTTCAGTTCAGGTGTGTGTGTGTGTTTCATTGTGTATAGTATATCTATCTGTCTTACTAATTCACACACACACACACACACACACACACACACACACACACACACACACACACACACACACACACACACAGGCTGTTTCATCTGTTTGTTCTGTATTTGTCAACTCATATGAGAAGGTGATGAAGGAAGGAAGAGTGAAGGAAGGAAGGAAGGAAGGAAGGTGGAGTGAAGGAAGGAAGGAAGGAAGGTGGAGTGAAGGAAGGAAGGAAGGAAGGAAGGAGTGAGAAGAGGGGAGTTACTCTATTATGGTAAGGTTACGTTACGATAGTTTAGGTTAGATTTGGTTTGGTTAGGTTTAGTAGTGCAGGTTAGATAAAGTAGTGAGGCTAAATTTTACCACAACCTAACCTAACCTAACCAAACCTAAACTAACCTAACCTAACCCCACCTAACCTAACCTCACCTTAGTATTGCTTAAGTGCGTTCCTGTCATGCACTCTGCCAGCTGTCACGTGGATTGTGTCATGCGGGGCCCTTGTCACACGCTTTTCCAGAGATGTCATGGGTTGTCTCAGGGCAGCCAAGATTACGTGCACGATTCATTTTTCACCGCCCTACCTGATCCCCCAGCGCTGAGACTGATCTGAGAACTGTTGCCTTACACTGAGATTAATATGAGAAATGTGTTCCTCCACGAGCGCTGATATTGAACTAGGAACTATTGCCAACGCTGAGATTGATCTGAGAACTGTTGTCATGCACTAAGATTGATCTGAGAACTGTTGTCATGCACTAAGATTGATCTGAGAACTGTTGTCATGCACTAAGATTGATCTGAGAACTGTTGTCATGCACTAAGATTGATCTGAGAACTGTTACGCACTAAGATTGATCTGAGAACTGTTGTCATGCACTAAGATTGATCTGAGAACTGTTGTCATGCACTAAGATTGATCTGAGAACTGTTGTCATGTACTAAGATTGATCTGAGAACTGTTGTCATGTACTAAGATTGATCTGAGAACTGTGATTATCTTGAGCGCTGAGACCAACTTAACCCAACTTAACAGAATATTACAAAGTTTAAACTGAAGGGATTTTTGTCCAGTGGAATTTTCTACTGAAAGTCTTGACTGTACTTATATAAGGTGAACCATTGAAGACTGTGTGTAGTGGTTCATTTGGTTCGGGACTTCAATACACTTTAAAGTTTACTATTGTGATCAGTGGTTCATTATCTTACTCGGGTGAAATATAAGTACATTTTTACTTTCTTTTCATAACTACATTATTTAGCAATAAAATTTTGTGAAACTTTCAATAAAAGACAGATAGATAATGAAATGATATACAGTCACTCAAAAAAAAATTACCTGTACAAAATTGTGATGAAAAAATATGACACAACAGATGAAGGATTTTGACAACCCTACCGAGACAACAGGAGTAACAGTGTTCATTCTGGACTACATCGATCACCCCGAGTACAGATAGTTTTTGGAGTGACAACATTGATTAATATTTGCTTATACAGATCACACGGCCACATTATCCATTCACAAAACCGTACGTCATATAGCTGGGCGGGACAGGTGAGACATTTGCATAATAAACAGACGATAGACAGATTTAGAGGCTTGAAGATCTCAGGTGTTGAAGCTTGGGATATATTAAACTTAAACAAACGGCAGATTGCTCGAAACCTAACTCGAACTGTTTCAATGCTTCACCTCTCTCTCTCTCTCTGTGGTGATGTGGATGATTGTGGTGGTGGTGGAGGGGTCAACCTGGTTATGTGGTGGTGGAGGGGTCAACCTGGTTATGTGGTGGTGGAGGGGTCAACCTGGTTATGTGGTGGTGGAGGGGTCAACCTGGTTATGGTGGTGGTGGTGGGAGGAGGGTCAACCTGGTTATGGTGGTGGTGGAGGGGTCAACCCATGTGGGTGGTGGTGGTGGAGGAGGGCCAACTGGTGTGGGTGGTGGAGGGGTCAACCTGGTTATGTGGGTGGTGGTGGTGGAGGGGTCAACCTGGTTATGTGGTGGTGGAGGGGTCAACCTGGTTATGTGGGTGGTGGTGGTGGAGGGTCAACCTGGTTATGTGGTGGTGGAGGATGACCTTGGTGAGTCTTCTTGG